TAATGATGCAGATGTGAAAGTGCGAATTGATATAGCAAGAGCAGTGTATCAAAAATTGAAAAACATCAGCAACTCAAAATAACTGTCAACCAACAACAAACTCAGAATTTTCAATACAAATGTCAAAAAAGTTTGATTGTATATGTCGGAAACTTGGAGAATTACGAAACCCATCATTCACAAGATACAAGTGTTCGTTGGCCAGAAACTATCATCAATAACCTGAGATGAAAGAGGACTATCCAGATTCCAGTGGCGGAAGAAATCAGGAAAAAGCGCTGGAAGTGAATCGGGCACACATTGAGGAAAGCACTCATTTACGTCACAAGAAAAGCATTCACATGGAATCCTCAAGATCAAAGGAGAAGAGGAAGACCAAATAATACATTACACTGAGAATTGAAGACAGACATGAGAAGAATGAACAATAATGCGACAGAGCTAAAAAGGAACGTCGAGGACAGAATTCATTAGAGAATGATAGTCGGTGGTCTATGTTCCATTGAGGTTAACATGCGTAAGTCCAGTTATTTTATGGATCAACTTTAGACAAACTATCATTTTGTTGATTTCTTCTAATAAAAAAGAGACAAATAAACTTATACAAAAATACAAAATTCAAATTTAATATTCTTCATCTATATTTTTCCAATTAACCAACCTTAATTTACACAGATTGAAATCATGAGTCAATTGAAGCTAAACCATCATTGAATACCTGGAAGCACTGGACAGCCGTTTCGTCCTAGTATAGGACTCCTAAGCGGTGCGCATCCACGATCTCGCGCCCTGCGAAATTCGAACCCAGGACCTAAGAGTCTCGCGCCAAGCGCTTAATCAACTAGACCACTGAGCTGGCCGTCATCCAACGGTGTTAATATCTCACTTCAACCAATCCACGAAGTTTCACCACCGTATATCATTGTCTTCAGTGAGCTGATATCTCACAACAGAGCTGGTTGAACTCCATTGGCAGCCGCTTCTGACTAGAACTCCAGGAGTCATTAGTGAGCTGATGATTATTATCATTTAACAAAATATCTATGTTTAGTGTTCAAGTTCTTCTAAAAAAAATTTCCTTTAAAACACAAACAATCAAACATTAATTATGTAAAATTATGTTAAAATATTTAACAAAAACTAAATAATTTAGTTAGAAACAAATTTTAAAGAAAAAAATTTATTTTATTCTTATTGAATTTTTGTTTTAATTTTATTACCGGAAGTTTAATTATTTTCAATCATTCATTTTTATTTTATTTAATTTTTGTTTTAGAGAATGAAAATGTAAAACAACAAAAATTTTTTTCATTTAATCCTCATTTATATTTTATTTGATTGTCGAATATAAGTACAATGTGTATATGATAAATTCTAATCTACTGTCTCCCCCTTTCTCTCTCTGTCTCTCCGCTCCACCCTCTCTCTCTCTCTTCATGAATATAAATCTTTTTTTTTGAAATGTTCATAGTTTAGTGATGAGATTGTTTTTTTTTCAACCCCCCCCCTATTTTTTGTTGTTGTTGTTGTTGAGCGAATCAATAAAATACTTACAATTCTATCATATTCATAATGAAATTATCATATAATGTAGAATTTTAATAAAGTACAATTATTCATTTTCATAATAAAGTTTTTAAAAAAATTTGACAACTTACCTCTATTGTCTCTATTCTCTAAAAAAAAACTTGTACATTTTCACATTTGTAAATGTCATCCTATTCCGATGTTGTTTTGTTTATTTGTTTCTTTAAAAAAACACCCAACATTCATAGTAAAACAGTCTAAAATGACTACTCATTATAGTAGCAGGTGTATTCTTTCAAATTCACATTCGATAGAAACCAATTTGAGGATTCTCTATGTCATTATTATTATTATTATTCGTTGTTGACTTTATCCTTTTTTTTTTAAAAAAAAAATCATTAAAATGCATCGTTCACCACTTTTTTTGTTCTAAAAACAAAAATCAATTTCATTTTGTTGTTGTGTATGATTGTGATAATGAAATGGTGGAGAAGATTTATAGTTCAGGTGAATGATTGTGATGGAGTTTTGTTGTTTGAGTTAGATGTTTTAGTCGACTAAATCATTCAGCTCAAAGAATAAAACTCCATCATAATTAATGTGATGATATATATATATATAAATGTAAATAGATAAATTCACATTCATATACAGACTAACAATCGTTTACTATGGTACCAAAATCAGTATTCATATGTGTAATGTGGTACGTTATTATTTAATGTATTTCTGTATATATATGTGTTTGCTTGTTTATATACATATGTGTGTATGTATGTATGTACGTACGTACGTGTGTGTGTGTGTTCGGCCAAATGTGTAAATTCGAATGTGTTCCCTCAACTACAAAATTAAAAAAATTCTGAATAAAATTAAATTTCAGACGGAAAATCTGTGAAAATGGGGAAAAAAAATGCAAACATTTTTATTCTGTCAGATTTAAATAAGAGATTCAAATGAATAATGAACAAATAAACAAAATGTGGACTCATTTTTTTTTTCATTTCTAAGCAGGGAAAATATGAATGAACAAGGTGAATAAAAAATAGATGGGAGGGTGGTTTGAGTCTTTACAATATTAACAAATTAAATAAGTTATGATAAACAAATTATGGGTATTTCCTGAGGGTAATTGTAAAAGATGATTCAGATTAGAATAGTTTTAAACATTTATTTTATTATCAGAAGGGGTTTTGTGGATATTATAGTAATTTTAATAGTTGAATTCACGAGTCAATTGAAGCTAGACAACTATAGAAAACATAGAAGCATTGCACAGCCGTTCCATCCTAATTTGGAACTCGTCAGTAGTGCGTATCCATGACCTCACCTTAAGAGATTCGAACCAGGACCTATCAGTCTCGCGAGCGAGCGCTTAACCACTAGATCATTGAATCAGCCGGTATCCAACGGTTGTAATGTCTAACTTCAACTAATCCACCAAATTGAGCGATACATCCACCATTGTCTTCAGTGAGTTACTATTTCACAACAGACCCTGTTGGACTCTACAGGTCACTGTTTCTCACTAGAATTTCAGGAAATACCTCTTGAAGCCAGTCAATAGTGAGCATATGTTGATTAATATCACAAGGACTTTTTGGGATATTATAGTAATTTCAACGGTTGAGATCATGAGTTAATTGACGGTAGACAACCGTGGAAAACCTGTTGTGTGAGTCCTCAGCAGTGCTAGTTTATAAGATATGAATCCTTTTTGATTATATTATGGAAACTAATGGTTTATTACGGGCATACAATAATTCAACTTAACTAAATCTTTAAAAAGCTATCAATTAAGACCTAAGGGACAAATGAAACTTACTGTTCAATATTCTTCTTTTATTATTAACCGACAAATAATCTAAATAATTACTGGTTCACTAGAAGTTATCACATTATTTTAATAGGTTTTACAAATAATCACAATTAATAAAATGATATTGACAATTTTAATAGTTGAATTCATGAGTTAATTGAAGCTAGACTACTATGGAATACCTAAAATGACTGGACGTCCGTTTCGTCCTAGTATGAGACTCCTCACTAATTTCGTAGGATGGCTGGAATTAGACACGGTTAGATGTCAGCTAAGTGGTTTAGAGATTAGTCGTTTGCGTGTGAAACCGTTAGGTCCTGGGTTCATGTCTCATAAGGCGGGATCGTAAATGCGCACTACTGAGGAGTCGCACATTAGAATGAAACGGTTGCCCAGTTCTTCCAGGTTTTCCATAGTGGTCTATCTTCAATGAACTAACGAATCCAACTATTAAAATTACTGTATTATCCACAAAACCCCTCTCCGATTATGATACTGATAATTTATCAAAACACATTCGTTTTGTTTAAATCAATTCAAATGCGAACAACAAATTTTTGTAAAAGTATATTCAATAACATGTCATTCTTCAGATTTTTACTTAGTTACTCCTATTACTCCTCGTGAAGGAGCATAGGCCGCTCACCAGCTTTCTCCATCCAACCCTGTTTCAAGCAATCCTTTCCAGCTCATTCCAGTTTTTATTCATCCTTTTCATATCTGTTTCTATTTCCCCACGTAATGTGTTCTTTGGCCTTCCTCTTCTCCGTTTCCCTTCATGATTCCAAGTTAGCACTTGTCTCGTGATGCAGTTTGATGAGTTGAGTAATGTATGTTCTATCCGTTTCCATCGTCCTTACTTAATTTCCTTTTTAGCTGGAAGCTGGTTTGTTTTCTCCCACAAAAGGCTGTTGCTGATGATATCCGACCAATGGATAATGATAACCACAAAAAAACATAATTCACATTTCTATTTACAGTTTAAATTATATCCGATTCCAGAGATGATAGTAAGAATACTAGTTATGAATAATAAAAGTAATTCAACATAAATGCAAATTGTAAAGCAAAATAAAAAAGAGAAAGTTTCATCAACAATAAATTTTTGCATGATGCAAATAATTAATTAAACAACTTAATTTTGCACTCTCTCTCTCCCTTTCTCTCTCTCACTCTCACTTGCTCTTACTCGCTCTCTTGCTACCCCTCAATATGCAACAAAGATAATAGTGATTGTGTATATTATTGAATCAAAAAGTGAAGAAGAATTAGTATCAGTAGACAAAAGTATGAAGAAAGTAAAATCTAAAGATAATCGATTAAATTTTGTTTTCTTTGAATAGAACTTAATTTATGCATTGATTTTTATTGATTCTTCTTCTTCTTCGATTTCCCTTAAGGGTAAAACGTTATGACTTTTAGTTTCAAGCATTAAACATTTCCGTTAGTATGATTATACTTGATTATATTACTCTTTAGTGTAACACATGAAAGAAAAAAAAGAAAAGAAGACAACACAAAGAAGAAACTAGAAGAATATGGAGATAACAACCATTAAACGGACAAACGAACGAATGAGTCAACAAAAACAAAGAATGATTATTAATGAGAGTTCAAGTGAAATTCTGTTATTTGATTTAGTTATTGTTTTAAGATGAACGCATCATCATCATCATCATCATCATCATCATCATCATCATCATCATCATCATCATCATCATCATCATCATCATCATCATCATCATCATCATCATCATCATCATCATCATCATCATCATCATCATCATCATCATCATCATCATCATCATCATCATCATCATCATCATCATCATCATCATCATCATCATCATCATCATCATCATCATCATCATCATCATCATCATCATCATCATCATCATCATCATCATCATCATCATCATCATCATCATCATCATCATCATCATCATCATCATCATCATCATCATCATCATCATCATCATCATCATCATCATCATCATCATCATCATCATCATCATCATCATCATCATCATCATCATTGTGATTAATATAAGAATTAAATACAATAGTAATAAAGACACTGGGGTACCTAGCCTGCTGGATACCATGTTAGTGTTCTCTTAACTTTCGTATTTTGACAATGAATAACAAAGATAGATTAAGCAATCGCAATAGTAGTATGTGATAAACTAAAAAAGGTGTAAAACATCAACTCCATTAATGAATTGCTCCATAGGTCCAAGCAGTTTATCAAATAAGTAATAAAATCAATAATCAGATCAGACCTGTCAGTCACCATAGGTATATAATATCTGAATCTTAAAGTCATTTATGTTTTGAATGAATCTCAGTCACTTACAGTTTTATTTATCAACATTAGGAAAGTACAAGGTTTTAAAATAGAAAATTCATAGTCTCATGCACATCTTGACTCAGAAGCTCAGAGGATAACGCGTTGACATTTAAAGCGTGTAAATATTAACACTGAGATATAGTTATATTCTGTTGGCCAGTCGCAGCTAGGACAAAATCCATGTCCTGAACTCAGACTTTAGTCACTATCCTACTTTACTAAAAATAATCTGTAGTTGCTATCATGAAATAGATTTCTTGAGTGTGATATATTGAATTATTTACTACGGTCAAACTCAGGATATCCCTTTAATACTGATAATCTTTAAACCCAAAAAAGAATTGGTTTCAGACTTCATAAAGACTGATCAGTTAACAGAATTATTATACAAAAACCATTTCGTTGAAATAATTCTCACATATGAAGTAGTTGATAAAGAATGAAGATGTAAATCATGGAATAGTCAATCTGGCGATGGATTTATACCTTTCATCTATTAAAAACAATGAATAATATGTAAGTATCATTCATCACAGACTGATCTCCTTTGGGATACCACTAAAAATTAAGTATTTAGTGCTAGTATACGATTCTTCAGTAGATTGTATTCATAACCCAGTTAAGAATCTAAACCATAACCCCTAGATTTCGTGTAGTTGATATGTACTACTCAATCTAAACATAAAAGTTCATATAATATGACTTTCACCACAAAACTTGTCAAAACATACATTGCTACTAGTTGAGTTGTAAGTGAGAATTATTAAGAAGTTTCATACGATGATTAAAAAAACTACGCGAGCATTTTCATCTCTACTACAAATCGGATCAATATTTGACAAATATTATCAGCTTGGTAACTAAATTTCACAAAACCCCATTCTTTTAAACCACAAAAATGATCATCCATTTTTTTCAATTAATTTTATCACCGCACCTATTCATAATTCAATTAACAAAATTAGGAAGTGGAAATATAAAATATACTTTACAACAAAAAGAAAAGAGAAACCAACCACATTTTATACATGATTAATAAATTGATTGACAATGAGAATATCTATCCATCTGCATCTATCTATCTATCCACACATCTATCTATCTATCTATCTATCTATCTATCTATCTATCTATCTATCTACCTATCTATCTATCTATCTATCTATCTATCTACCTATCTATCTACCTATCTATCTATCTATCTATCTATCTATCTATCTATCTATCTATCTATCTATCTATCTATACATCTATCTATCTATCTATCCACGAATATATCTATCTATCTATCCACGAATATATCTATCTATCTATCTATCCACACATCTATCTATCTAACTATCTATCTATCTATCTATCTATCTATCTATCTATCTATCTACCTATCTATCTATCTATCTATCTATCTATCTATCTATCTATCTATCCACACATCTATCTATCTATCTATCTATCTATCCACACATCTATCTATCTATCTATATATCTCTGTTTATCTTTTTATATATATATATTATTGAAGAAATCCATTATTTAATTGGAAAATTTTCATGTAAAATAACCTAACTTATGAATACCAATTTAGTTTCATCACGAAAAGTTCATATGACGAAAGTTTTCTTTTTCCTGCTTTTATCTAAAAGAAAGAAAAATGAATATTGAATAAATGATTATTTTCTATTTCACACAATATTGATTTTTAAATTAATAAATTTAATCTTAAGATTGATAGATAATAACTCATTGTCTTTTGATTCATAATTGAAATTTAATATAAATAGTGGCTAGTAGTGAAATTCAGGATACACGTTTCGTCTCATTTTGAATTCGTCAGATGGTTGTATATGAATTTAAGAGTTTGTTTTCCCTATGGAACTTGAAATCAGTACCGTTTGCTTCAATAGCCATCACATTATTCACTTAGATACTAAGTTCTGATATCCACTTGCTTGTGCAATAGTATTAAGTATATGAGTGTTTGAAGCGAACGGTACTGGTTTCGATTCCCGGAGTAAACATCAACTCTGTGTTGCAGATACATCCAGCTGATGTGTCTCTAATAGGACAAAACGCACATCCTGGATTCCACTGCTAGCCACTATCCATCTTTGTTTATAAAACCTGTGACCTAAGGTAATATAGTGGCAGTCCACGCTGGATGCACATATGCCAACAAGAGACTGATCCATTACAGTTCTAAATAACAATGGGAAGATACAAGTAAAACAACAACAAGTGAATTTAACATTTGAACTACTTTGCAGAGAGTTTGAGTAACTTGTGAACTTTTTTTTAATTATATTCATTGAAAATCATATTGAATAATTTTACTAAAATCGATAGTACAACCATTAAATGTCGCATAGAGTCAACATTCATTGAACCATGATAAACATTGACTAGACGATAATTAGTTCTTAAATGAATTCCGTTAATTTTCAGAAAGAATTTATGACATGTGAAATCAATTTTTTTGCAAGTAAGGTGATGTTTCACTGATGATATTCAGTGAAATTAGAGCTATACATTAAGTTGAATCAAATAAGTCAGTTTCTTAATCCGAATCTGATTTCAATGTGAACTTAATCAATTGATGGAATTCATTGAAATTGTCTAGGATATAGTTGTCTTTGATAGTTTTGTCACAAACAAATATCATTTGAATAACTTTTGTTTAGATAGAAACTGTCAATTGTTGGTTTGATTACAACGTTTTTTGACATTGCTAATGAAATAGTCAAATATAAATGAAACGATTTGTGACTCCCTCGTTACGCCTTAAGTTTGCTCATAGAACTCATTATTTATCTATGTTTTTATCTAGTTATTTGAGTGCATGAATATTGGTATAAAGATGCACCGAAAACATATGAGTCACACAAGTCACTTGATTTGTGTGTAGTCTGTGATACTGTCCGGGTTCCCAGACCGAAGCAGGTGGTTTTTTTAGGGAATCATTCCCTGAGCTTTTGAATTGAAGGTCTAATCCATAAGGCAGAGGAGCAACATCAGGAGATGCATTCCCATGGAAGCCGGTGACCAACAATAGGTTTATACGCCATTTGTTCCCCCAGGATCCTGGAGCCCATGTGCACCATAAATTTGGAATCAGCGTCTTCCGACTCACCTACCTGAACTCACCGTGATCACCAACCCGGTTAAAGCGCTAGAAATTCTCTTTTCGTCCTCTCAATTTCGTAACCAACACCACTGGTGCGAGAAGGCAGTGAGTAGGACTTTCGTGGGAGTAGCTCTATTTGCATGGCCATGTGAGAACATCCTGAGACAGGTTGTGGAATCTCCACAGGGCGGATCTGTTATGCCTTTAGGAGAGTGGGCATCAGATGCCCTATCTAACCTTGTGCATCATTAAATTTGAATTGGACACTGAATGTGTATCGAACAGGTAATTATTTCATATAGTGTGTCAGAATACCAACACTGAGTTTATCGTTTTAAATATAATCACACTGTAAGCAGATCATTTAGTGAGAGGTATTATCTAGTTGTCTTTCCGGTTAGGTAGACACCTGAGACTGAATCAATAAATTTGAAGAAATTAGCAGTGGTGTATCTACTGAGTTGATTCACGATTGGTTATAGAATCTAAGTTAACCATTTAGCGATAACATGATATAGTGAGTTATTCAGATTTACTTTAGGATGTAAAGGAGTATCTTTTCAAAGTACTTCAGAGAGATCGTATAATCGTGGGATAACGGGTCCAGTTAGGCTGAAATTAAATTATCTTCACTAACCGAAATCGAACAAATTAATTTCTAAATTTTTAAAAGTTGAAAAATAAAGCTTTTTGATTAACAGTTATCAAATGATAAGCTTAGGAACATTGAATCGTTTTAGCTTGGTGGATTATTTTTCAAAGTTTAAAGTGTCGGTGTAAACAACAACATAGGAAAGTAAATTCTTTCTGCTGACAAGTTCCTAATTGGAGAAAGTCTCTTTCAAGATTCTATTGCTAATTTTCATTCAGAACATAATTTGGCACCATTCTTAGATTTTTTTAGGGTTGAAGCTATCACGAGTTCACTTAATCTGTGAACAAGCATAAGACTTGGTGACCAAAGACCAGTAAGCTAGCTATTGATACGTCCCAGCCCCGCTAACTAGAGGGAGAATTTCAAGTTTGGAATGAGGAAGTATATTCTGCAAGCAGCCAGAAGCACGAGCGATAACAACAAACACAATTCAAAACGTATACATACAGTACAAAACCGTCCTTTGAAAGAGTTACCAAATTCAAATTTTCTATATAAAATTACAAAATTAGGTCATTTCCCAAGTGAGTTCTGGGAATCTAACGTCCCCAACAGATTCGCATCCATCTATAAACGAACGAGAATTTAAAAAAAAACTAATAAGAGCAACAAGCTATTTTGCAAAGAAAGGTTTGGTTCATTAGTTAGTGCAATGACTGAATCTGGATTATGAAGCGTTCATAAAGAAAAATATATTGACATTTAATATCTTTTTGACTTTATATTTTTTTATTTATTAAACTAATATAAATATAATTCAAAAGCAGAGATATACAAAGCAGGACTAAATTCACTTAGTATTGTGGATAACGCGATGGTTTCGAGTCCCCAGAGTGAACATCAACTCTCAGATAGTAAGTACATCCAGCTGACGAGTTCTAAATAGGACGAAGTATTCGTCTTAGATTCCACTAC